CCACAAACTGTTGATGAATGATGAGTAGATGAATTGAAGAGAAATATAATTAAATTATTGATGATGGGTTCAGATTGGAATCAGGAGTCTAGACGAATCATTTGTTTATTTACTCCGTCCTTACCTGTAGCTTGCTCCGTCCTAACTTGATATTTATTGTTCCGGGACAGATATCTTGCGCCGTCTCATTTTGCTATCTTTCTCCTTTTCAACTTGTTATTTTACTCAGTCCCAACTTGATATCCTGCTCCGTCCTAACTTGATATCCTGCTCCGTCCTAACTTGATATCTTGCTCCGTCCTAACTTGATATCTTGCTCCGTCCTAACTTGATATCTTGTTCCTTCCTAACTTGATATCTTGCTCTGTCCTAGTTTCATATCTTGCTCCGTCCTAACTTAATATCTTGCTCCGTCCCAACTTGATATCTTGCGTCGTCCTAACTTGATATCTTGCTCCGTCCTAATTTGAGATCTCACTCCGTCCAAACATGATATCTTGCTCCGTCCTAACTTTACATCGTTCTCCGTCCCACATGATATCCTGCTCCGTCCGAACTTGATATCTTGCTCCGTCCTAAATTGATATCTTGCTCTGTCCTAACTTGATATCTTGCTCCGTCCTAATTTGAGATCTCACTCCGTCCTAACATGATATCTTGCTCCGTCCTAACTTGACATCGTTCTTCGTCCCCATGATATCCTGCTCCGTCTTAACTTGATATCTTGCTCCGCCCTAACTTGATATCTTGCTCCATCCTAACTTGATATCTTGTTCCGTCCTAACTTGATATCTTGCGTCGTCCTAACTTGATATCTTGCTCCGTCCTAACTTGATATCTTGCTCCGTCCTAAATTGATATCTTGCTCTTTCCTAACATGATATCTTGCTTCGTCCTAACTTGACATTGTTCTCCGTCCCCATGATATCCTGCTCCGTCTTAACTTGATATCTTGCTCCGCCCTAACTTGATATCTTGCTCCATCCTAACTTAATATATATTTCTCTGTTTCCAACTTGATATCTTGATCCCTCCTAACTTTATATCTTGCTGCGTCCGAACTTGATATCTTGCTCCATCCTAACTTTATTTATTGCATAATCCCAACTTGATATCTTGCTCCGTCCCGACATGATATCTTTCTCCATCCTACCTTGATTTCATCTTTCGTCCCAACTTGACTCTTTACGTTCAATCCCAACTTGATATCTTCCTTCGTCCCAACTTGACTCTTTGCATAATACCAACTTCATATCTTCCTCCGTCCCAACTTGACTCTTTGCATAATCCCAACTTCATATCTTCCTCCGTCCCAACTTGACTCTTTGCATATATCTTCCTCCGTCCCAACTTGACTCTTTGCATAATCCCAACTTGATATCTTGCTCCGTCCCAACTTGACTCTTTGCTTAATCCTAACCAAATTCTTTGCTTAATCCCAACCCAGCTGCTTAAATGTTTATGTTTATCAGAACTCTTTGTTTCTAAATTATTTCGAACATTAAAACAAAATTGAATAATTTTCTTTACTCTTCTTGATTTCTTTATTTTCTCAATTGTTGTAAAAAATTTAGATTTACTCAACTCTACAGATAATATTTCACAACAAAATGATCTTTTTATGTTTTATATTTTTATCAAAATTAAATAAAACTTTGTATTTGTGATGAATAAAGCCGGCGAATAAGGTTTGAAATCCAACTCCGAATATAAACATCTTCTCCCGTTAAATACAACTTTTAAACAATTCTTCTAGATTTAGGACAAGAGAGTCACAATACAAATCATTCCAAAGGATACAAGGATACAAAGATACAAGGATACAATGATACAAAGATACAAGGATATAAGAATACACTAGGATACAAGGATACAAGGATATTAAATCTGTTGGAAACCTGTCGTAGTAAGAATGTCTAACATCACATGTTTGACATTTATGAATGTTAAAAGTTCAAAGTTAGGTATTTTTATGATCTTATCTCCGGCAATAAACACACTTCAACTAAACCACCTTCAGCTGTTAATCTTTACATGAACGAAAAAAATACATAAAATATATGATTTCACGGAATCAATTTTAACGTAAATAGTTTTTCTCAAAGTTTTGAGAAATATCCTGGTTTTATTCTGAAAAATCGTTTGCTTATTTTTTCTCTTTAAGGAAGTATTCGCGAAAAATAAAAGGCTGATCCCGAATTGAATATTTTAAGGGGAAAACCTGAAATATTAATTTTGATGAAACAATTTCTTATTTTTAACAAACACTGAATTCTTTATCTCGACATAAGAAAAAAGTCAAATTTATGCAAAATTACCCCCACTATGAAAAAATCAAATTTATTTGCTTCCATCTTAGAAATTCAAGCTCTGGAAACAGTGTCGAGTATGATTGAAAATGTGTAAGAGTTCAATCAATGTGATTAGAACTGAACACTCTAAAGTTTCTAACCTTACCTGATGTCGTAGACTTTTGAAATAATTCTAAACTCTAATTTTCTAATCCCTATATCTTTGCAACACACAATCAGACCTTAGATATTTCTATGAATTCCGTTAGATCAAATAATCATATAAGTTTAAAATATTAGGTTGCAAAAATATAGGGTTACGTAGACCAGAATTTAAGTCTTTGAATGAATGTCCACAAAAAGTAACTTCTGAAAATTAGTTAAACCATTTTCTCTAATTATCTATCTTCAACGTCTCGTCCGTTAAAATTTACGCTGACAAGACTAATGGAAAAGTGGCGGGGTTCAGATTTCTCCGCAAATGAATGAGTTGAAAATATTGAGAGTTGTGTCCATATGTCCGAGGTCTCGTATATCCAAGATTAAAGACTGACCACCCCTCTCTCTCGTGGACACGTGAGTATCATTACCCTCAAAGAGAACGCGTCCATGTTCAATATAGAAAGAAAGGGGGGGG